CCCAAACTTGCTTCTGGGGCCCAACCTCGCGGTTAGAAAAGCAAAATTCATTCACCGACAATTTATGGTTCATTCACTCTGCGTTGGGTTATCATTCACTCACCGATAGGACCAACCCTCATGGATCGAGTTATTGTTCGTTCGCAGACAATCGAGCCCAATCCCACCGGTCCAATTAATCATTCTCCCACCGACGAGTCCAGTTCGACCGTGCCGATTTACCATTCGATCGCCCTCGACCTTGCTTATCTATGCTAGGGTCGGATTCACTTACTATGACGGGGCCATGTCCAGTTACTAATGATGGGGTGGCATTCTTTTGTCCACGCTGACGCCGATCATAAATTTGGGACGTCCATATTTCTCTCGCCGTAGAGCCTCAACTTCGGCTGAGCCGACGTCCATATTTTTTCACCGTAGAGCCTGAACTCCGGCTGAGCCGACGTCCACATATAAAGGTTACCGTTCGAGCAACGTTAATTTTCTCGGTCGAAAACGAATAAAATCCTATAAGGGTAAAAAGACCGGACAACTTTAATTTGTCCGGCAAAAAAAATAAAACCCTATAAGGGTAACCGTTCGAGCAATGTTAATTTGCTCGGTCGAAAATGAATAAAACCCTATAAGGGTAAAAAGACCAGAAAACTTTAATTTGTTCGAGAAAAAGAATAAAACCCTATAAGGGTAAACGTTCGATCAACGTTAATTTACACGGCGAAAAAAGAATAAAACCCCTATAAGGGTAAAAAGACCGGACAACGTTAATTTGTCCGGCAAAAAGGAATAAAATCCTGTAAAGGATAGAACGGCCGGACAACTATGATTTGTCCTTTACAACGGCCAGACAACTCTGATTTGTCTGGACAAATAAAACCCTATAAGGGTGACACCGAACAACGAAAGTTGTTCGACTAAAATAAAGTACTTTATAAGAGTAAATACCAAACTCCGAAGTAGACAAAGAGCTAAAAGCTCACTTAGGCAAAGAGCTCGAAGCTCACTCATGTCAAGAATCCAAAAACATATTCCTGCAAGAAACAAGGCCAAAGATTGGATGTCAAATTATCCGACCAGGTCAACATAAAGTAATAAAACAGTCGCACAAATCAATTTTTAAGTTGCCCCAATGCGACAAAGAGCCGCAAATACGGCTAACTTAGAATCGGCAAACAAATCATATCAGCGAGTATCTTCGTACGGATCGCCAAAAATTCAAGGGGCTCGAACGCCCACACAAATCAATTCCGTTGCAACAACAAAATTAAACAAGCACGCCATGTGGCACAAACGTAAAAACGGGTACCAAATTACCCAACTAGGTCATTCAGGCCCCATTCAATAGCAATTCCCAAAGAATTGTCCCTCAACTCCACTGACTCGCACTCGTTAAAGTGCAGAAGAACACAACTAACACAAATGCGTCAGGCTAAAGCCTAAAAACAGTCAACAAAGCGTACATGGGTCCCAAAGAACCCAGAAATTACATATCAACACGTATCCATTCAATAAATGCCGATAAGATGAGATGTGGTCTTATATATCACGCAAACGTCATTTATCATAACGTAAAAGAGCCCTTGGCTCGAAAGGTTAGAGGCAAAAATATGCCAAATTGTTAATAGTGCGACTTCAGAACAATTATATTCAAAACATGTCCTAAACTCGAGGGCCTCTTGTGGGTACCCGATTTGGCTGCAATCAATCAAAGAGCAACACATGGCAAAATGACCGAGGGCTAACATATGTAAGAAATAAATACACAAGTAGCAGGTTCTCTAAGCTGATTATTTAATATCGACCGATTTCTCAAATGTCACAATCGATCGCACCCTAGTGGAGCAGAATTTAGTATCACCAGCCCGACCCGGATACAATAAAGAAACCGTTTTCCGAGGACGCAAACTACCGACAAACAGATGTATGTCGAAGCTGTCAAGTGTCATAATTGGGCCCCATGCAGTCACACCTCATTAAAATATCATTTGTATTATTTTATTTCTCATTATTCAATGGCCACATGTTTGGCCATACATATACTTGGCTAGGATCATTGTAAAGGGAGAATCCAATATTATCCAAACAAAAATCTCGGAAGAGAGAAGCATTTTTCTCAAAATATCAATGAAAAATAAGCTTCATCTTCATTCTTTGGATTTTCTTGATTTTGTATAGAAAAAATCATATGTTTTTTATTGTGAACCGAATACCCGGAGTAGTGTACAGTTCACCCCTATTGTTGACATTTTTTAGCATCAACACTAATATAATAATAATAAATTCTAAAGGATAATCAATACTAATATAACATAATAATTTTTAAATTTTAATATAATAATAATTTTTTTTAAAGATAACCAATTATAATTTATAACATAAACATTTCCAAGTTCTAACATAATAATAATAAATTCTATAAGATAATCAATTATAATTTAAAATATAATAATTTCTAAGCTATAACATAATAAATAATAAATTCTATAAAATATAAATTATAATTTAAAACATAAATTTCTAAGTTCTAACATAATAATAATAAGACAGTGAAATAACGATTTTTAGGGGCGAAACCCTTGTTCCCTCTGAAACCCTTGTTCCCAAACCTTCCACCGCCTAGCTTCTAATTCGTGCATACCAGCCTTCCTCAGCGGCCATCGAACATCGCCGGCGGTCACCGGTACTTAATTGTTTGGGCCCCGTCCCTTATTTTGCGCTCTCCCCTCTGTTTTTTTGAGCTTGGCCCCGACATTCGCGGATGGATTCGTCATCTCCGGCGTCAATTTGTGATCTCAGATTCGTGGTTTCTCTGTTTGGGGTGGTAGAGCTTTGCTGCGGTTCTTGGGGCGGGGCCGTGGCTCGGTTGCTCGGCGGAGTTGCTGTCGGGTGGCCTATACTGCGCGGTTGTTCTTGGCCGCTCATCCCTGTACTAGTTTATGGGTTGGAGGAGCCGTCGCGTCCTTTCTTCAACCAGTGGTGTTGGTCGGAGTGGCGATCCGGAGGTGCGGTGGTTTTTGGACATCTTCCAGACGACTAAGGGTCGGGACTGAGCCATGGCACTCTATTGCTGGGGGCAATTGGTGTTATGGTTGTGGTGCAGGTTGGCTTGGTGATGTTCCGGGGTTTGGGGTTTCGATTCCGTTAGACAACCGAGTGGTTTTGGCAGTTTCGGGATTGGTTCTTCTGGCTGTGGGATGCTTGGTCGACTTGTTTCCGTTGGTTAGGTTGGGTGCAGCTGCCGTGGGAAGGGCTAGTTTATTTTTTTAGTGTTTTGCTGGTTTTTTTTTAGTGTTTGTTTGTTATTTGCTGTTTAGTTTGGTGTCGTTTGTCTCTGGTTTGTGTTTTTGGTTTGGGCCTTTGGCCTCTGTGCGCCCGAGTGTCAATCTATTCGCCCAAGTGTCATATTATTACCCTGTTGGGGTCCGACACTCGGGTATTACCCTGTTGGGGCCCAACACTTGGGTATTACTCTGTTGGAGTCTTGTTGTTGTGTTAGTGGTTTGTGTTGTGGATTAGTTTTTTATTCTAGCGTTTGCTAGCCGGTACTCTAGGCGGGCTTCTGAAAATCTGTCCTCCTTTTTTTCAGCTGTTGACTGCTGTATTTTCAGTCGTTGACTGCTGTATATTCGCACATTTGTGCTTTTTGATTTATAATAATATTTCTATCGTTTTGAAAAAGAAACTTAATAATAATAATAATAAATTTTACAAGATAATCAATTATAATTTATAACATAAAAGTTTCTAAGTTTTAACATAATAAATAATAAATTTTATAAGATAATCAATTATAATTTATAAAATAATAACTTCTAAATTCTAACATAACAAATTATAAATTCTATAAGATAATCAATTCTAATTTATAACATAACTAGTACAACACCCGTGTATTACACGGGTGCTTGCTAAATTTTTTTCTTAAAATTTAAAATTAATGAAAAAAAATAGTTTGAAAATTTAAATACCTTTTATAAGAATATGTATATTACTATATATTTATTATGATACATTTTATTTGTGCGACTTACTTGTGTTATATTATACTAATTTTTTAACTTACAATATATAACTACATTAGATATAAATATATCAATTGAGAAATAATTTTATTTTTCTAATGAATTTTAATAAATATTATTATTTTTTATTATTATAAAGATAAATATAATTTATTTATTTTATATATACAATATGGATGTCAAATCGAAGATCATTAAAAGATGATTAATTTGATATATTATATATGTAAAACCGATAAGAAATACAAAAGTTATCTATTTTTAAAATACATTTATATTTCAATAGCTTATTGAAGGAAGCAAATCAAAATTTAAGGATATATTAGTCACTTAGTGTCTCATTATGTAAAATTATAAAAAATTAAAAGGTTATATTAGTAAAAGTGATATTAAAATACCTAAGTTAGCTAAATAATATTTATGGAATACCCGAACCTAGATTATTAATTATTAATATATTAATATTATCTGTCCGAACCTAATTACGAAGCATGATTCTTCGCCAAATAGGATTCCGAAGCACCAGGAGCAGCCACGTAGGCTCAGCGCATTCTGAAATTATATATAGAGAGGATAATATATATTCTAACATATTTTCTTTAATAAATAAAATTTTAATTAGTAAAAAAAAAAAAAATCGTGCAGCCGGTCGGCTGCGCACGGTAGCGGTCAGCCAATCAGCCGACCAACCACGTGGTCGCTACGTGCACTGCCGGCAAATTTTTCGTACCTTGTCGTCGTTCATTTCGCCGGAAATCACCAAAATCTCAGAGGATTTACAATTTTTTTTGTTTTTGAAGAAAATGTCAGAGGCCAAACGATCTAAAAGGAGACTATACATAGTAGCAGGGCACGGTGAACAGCTAACATCTTTTAAAATTATCCTCCTCATGAGTAACTTCCGTACTAGTTACTCAATAAAGTGCCACCATTATTTCACTTCATAAGCCATCGCGAAATAAAAAGTGCAACACCAGCACAATGGTGGTGAACTCTATACGCGCCCTGACAGACAAGAAATGGGACGCGCTTGTCATTGGCGGAGGTCACAATGGCCTCGCTGCCGCCGCCTACCTTGCCCGATCCGGCCTCTCCGTCGCTGTCCTCGAGCGCCGCCACGTCATTGGTGGCGCCGCCGTTACCGAGGAGCTCATCCCAGGCTTCAAGTTCTCCCGCTGTAGCTACCTCCAGAGTCTCCTTCGCCCCGCTGTCATCAAGTCCGTCTCACGTTCTCAATGATAAATTGATAATGATTAAGTCTTCTTCCTTGATTTTTTTTTTAATTATTTTTTTATTTATGCGCTTTACTGATTGAATATGCTTTATGGTGGTGAAACAAGGGAACTGGAGCTAGCGAGGCATGGACTAAAGCTGTTGAAGAGGAGCCCATCTTCTTTCACGCCATGCGTGGATGGACGTTATCTTCTTCTTGGTTCTGATAAAGAGCTCAACTATTCTGAGATTTCGAAGTTCTCCAAACACGATGCTGAGGCTTACCCGAGGTGCACTTTTTTTTTTATCCCTTTCGCCCGTTCCCTTGTTTTTCGCTTATTGGCTCAAGAAATTGCATAAAGAGGAAGAGGATTAAGAAGTTGCAGTTGAACTGACTTTGAGGAGTTAGAGAATAATTCCAAAGGAGGCTCAAGAGGCGTTGATATATGAGTGATTATCATAAAGTAACATTTTGATATAATCACATATCACTAGAGTGACTTGCTGTTGTGGAATTAATCTGGTTTTATTATCCAGGCATTTGCATTCAATTATGTTGATTTGATTTCAATTCCATTCGTCATGCCCGTGGAAAATGTTTGGCAGTACCTTCTATCGAAAAAATGGTTATTGGGAGATGGTGATGCTTAGCTATTAGGGAAGCATTGCAAAGTGCTATGAGGAGCAGTGCAAGTAGGCTAGAATGCTGGTTAACTGCTTTAGATTCCAAAATGGAATGATTGCCGTTGTTAATAGCGGTTAACAAAAATAGGATGTTTAAAATACGAAAACTGAATAGTTAAGAGTTACCAGACGTACGTTGTATGATTTAATTTTAATCCTCCAGTGTCTTACGGTGTTCGAATGTTACGTTATGTGTCACTTCTTTGACACCGGTGATAGGGTGGATATAGAGTCAAGGTTCTAATATGTTGTTATCTTACTGCAACTTATGTAAATAATGTTTTTTTTGCCCAAGTGCTTCTGTCAAAGGTTAGGCCAATAAGGGATTCAGTTAACCCTCTCAATTATGTTTCTGAGATCGATATACATATTGTAGGTATGAGAATCTTTTGGAGAAGTTCTGTGCGTTCATGGATCCACTTTTGGATTCAACTCCTCCTGAAAAGTTGCAAGAAGGTTCATCATTTAATGCTCGTATGAAGGATAATCTGCAAAAGTCTATCTTTTGGGCGCACTTACTAAGGCGTGCGGCTTCCATGGGGCAAAATGATCTTCTGTGGGATTTCACTTCATCTTTCGGTTTTTTTTTTTTTTTTTTTTTTTTTTTTTCTTATTTTGACCCAGCTAGATTCCTGCATTATGTCGTGACTGGTTTGGCAATATTCTAACTTCTTTTCAGTAAATGAACTTTCCTCACATATGTTAATCTTTCCAGGGAATTCGTGAACCTTTTGTTGTCCCCTGCATCAAAAGTTTTAAACAACTGGTTTGAGGTAATCCGATTTTTTTTGTTTTTTTTTTTT